GCCTGGAGAACTATAGTCGTCAGCCGTGGGCCAAGGAAAGACCCATCAAGTCTTACCAGGTCTGTTCTCAAGTCAAGCATTTAGAGTACCGCCCATTTCTGATTATTCTTACTAAATCCACGCTTGAATTCTCAAGGATGGCGCGCTGGTAATTCACCCTTGGCATTCATGGACAGACTACTACTGATATTGAAGAGCGGCACCTCTGTCGCTCCAGCGATTCGACAGAGGCGCCTATAGCATTGGTATTTGATGCCTCGTCGCTTTAAGTATGCCCTTGCAAAATGACCTCAAAGAGTGGCATTGCGTAATTCTACCAGGAAATATGGCACCGCCGCCGGCAGTACCCTTCTCGATTCTCCTCATTGCTTGATATCTGGCTTTGTCTCCCTGCTGCCGCACTTTGTCGCGCATAAATAAGGTCAACTCAAAAGGCCTCTTAGTCTCTTGAAAGTCTGTTGATTCCAAGTGCTCTGATCAGGAGATGACGACTCAGTCGGCCTTACTACGAACAACGGTCAAAACAGCGAAGAGCGCGCTTCAGGCTTCAGCTGTGCGCCTGCGCTTTGTATGCCGAAGAGCTCAACAATTAGTCGTGGAGGCAACTGCAGTGTCTGGATGCGGATGCTTCTCGGAAGAACTTGCATATCTTGCGAGCGAGGAATGATGCTGACTTTCAGTTCCGCGAGGGGATAAAGGAAGATCTCTCAGGTCGTATACATTTGAAACTGCAGGTCTTCTGCAGGTATTCTTCATTCAGATTGTCTGAGTAGGTGCCAGAAACGCCACTAGCTGAGGTTAGCTAGGTACGAGAGCTGGGAGGCATGGGTCTCTGATTCGTCCTTAGGGCCCTCGTAATCGAGAGTAACCGATTTCTGCAGCATGGCTAGCAATATTTATTCTTCGAAGATCTCCTCAAGACCACCATCCACCGAAAATACCTTCCTTTGTTCTTCAGAACCGGTAGTAGATCTGTTCTGTTTGTAAAGTCTTGCATCGGGGGGTTCTGGAGGTCAATATATCCGCCCCAGGACGATTTACGTCGCTCTGGTCAATGATCATGCTTCCGGGTACGCTGGGAAGCTTGGGGAGATGCATCCAGCAAGAACGTCCAGTGACGTTGTTTCTTGACGCCCTCACTTTTCCCAACCTCTGCAGGGAGTTTCCATAGAAGATTAGGAGAGCCTTTTCGTGTCGGCCAAGGGAACATCGAGGTGGAACGTTGTGGTGGGATGCTCCTTGTCTTGAGGTCGTCACAGTGGCCATGGAACGCAAAATCAGCTCCCACGCCAAACGGTTCAATGCCCAGCCAAACACCATGTCCCTGAGGAAGCAGTCATGAGAGGAGACGTGGCAAGAGGAAGGTGCATGCATTTTGATTAGACTTGATTCAAAAGTACTCTATGTCAAACCTCTCGGCGCAGTCTCTGCGTCAATCCAAGCTCTGCGGTCATCATTCTCGCATGCCCAAGTCTCGTGGCTTCACAGTGATGGGCTGCCACGATGGCACTCTCGTCGCGACGAAAAAATTCAATAAATTAAGGTATGTCCGCTCCCTTCACTCCAAATGCTGCCGCAGGCTCATAATGTGTTGCTGTTGTTCCCAAATCATGCCCTTCCGATACCAACCCTGACCCTTGCCCCTATTCAAGCCACAACAACAGCCCGGTCCATCGCCCGAACCCCCTCAAACCAGACTGAAGCTCCCAGTGACGCCCTCAAAGGCGCGAATGCTGCCCAAGAGGCTCTTTGAGTTACCATAGTACCGAATCCGATATGTTCCCGCCGCAGCCGCCGAGCCGCCCTCCGCCGTTTCCCACCGGATCGTCACCTCGCTGTGTCCCAGCAGCCAGTCGGTCCGCGCCCACTCATACACGAGAAACCAGTCGGCGTCGTCCCGCACCTTGCTCCATGTTCCGTCCGCCGCGCGTCTCTCGACGGCGGCGTAAGTGCCCTCGAGACGGAGGTTGTTCCGTGGGTTCGCGCCCTGAAACTTGACCACAACCTCCGACCCGCGGGTGTAGCTCGCCGAGGGGGCCGTGATGACGGCACCAAAAGCCCGTCCCGCGGGCGCGCCGTCCGTGACAACGCCCGTGTTGAAGTTGAGCGAGTTGGCGCGGTTGTCGGGCGGCGCGGGGCCTGCGGGCGGCAGCGTCGTGGCGCCGGGGGCGAGGTGCTGGAGGTTCGAGATGGTGAGGTTGATGTAGGCGTCGAGCGTGTAGCGGCCGTAGAAGGTTGAGGCGCCTTCGTAGCGCTGGACATCGTACTCTTCGCGGGTTGTGACATAGTGCTGCACCTGTTAGTCGGCGTCACATGAGGGGGAAATGATCTTGGTCAACAGGCGGGATAAAGAAAAAGGGGCCAATGTACCGAGTACGTGTTTGCTGGACCGCCGAGCACAACGAGAGGACTTCCGCCTGTGATGCTACCCGAAGCCGCCGCTACGGCCTCTCTCCATCGCCTGCCAGCCATGGTCGTCGTCTCAGCACTGCCGACAACGAGGACAAGCTGCCCTACACGCAGAGTTTGAATATCGACAATGTTTGGGCTCCACGCGTACGGAGTGTTCACGCCACCAACGTCAAGCAAGATGGGCTTCGGCTCCTGACACGCCTGTTGCTCAGCGGACGGCGCCCGCAGAATGCCCCCCACGACTCGCCACAAGGGATTCTCTCCTGTCGAGTCGCCCTGCGTGAAGTCAAAGGCGCCAGGACCATCGGTCGTGCCGGCGGCAAACGAGTAGCCAAGGGAGGCTGGGCACGTCTGTACCTCCTGACCCGAAGGCAGGCGGAACTTGGAGAAGGTCATGTTGTGGAAGAAGTGGAAGGACTTGACAGTCGGGCCCGTGATGGGTGTTGATCTGGAGCCGAGCGCATCCTGGTCAAGTCAGCTTTGTCGTCTCGGACGTGGCATGAGCGCGATGGCAAGACAAACTCACAAAAATGGCCTTGGCGCCAACATACTGCCTCCTCCCAATCTCGTAAGCGCTCGAAACACCGAGATCCAGCTTTCTGAACTCGGGGCCCCGCCCACGACATGACTGCGAGAGGCCATCGGCACAAGTACTCGTCTCAAAGTCGCACTGCTGGCCCGACCCGTCATCGCACCAGGCACCGAGAACATTGGGCGTCGTGTCGGCATGGTTCGCCTGGGCAAATCCAGCGACGAACCCGCCGCCAATCTCCTTCTCAAAAAGCCACGACGCGACGCCCTTGTTGTCGCCAGCCACCTTTGTATTGTTCTGCAGCATGGACGTCGGGTGCACGGCGAGCCAGTTGAGCACGCCGAGGGCCTTGTTGTCCGAGGCGCGGCGGAAACGCAGCAGCGTCATGGTCTTGTCTACATCTCCGGGGTAGCGCGCACGCTCAGAAGCCGGGTTCTGAAGGTAGGCCCAGGGGCTGCGGTTAATGGCGGCGTTGGGGACCTCTCCTGTGCCAAAGTCGAGGTAACCCTAGGAAACGTCAGTCTTCCCATATATCCGACCAAGACGAGACAACTTACCTCTGCTAAGGACTCGTGCGCCCTCTTGATGGACAGAACAGCACCATCGACGATGGCCTGATAGCTCTGTCTGTCGAATCCCAAGTTTGTAATCTGGGGCAGCAAGTAGTTGAAAAAGGCTCCCGGCCCCGCGTGGCTGTGAGAACCCGTCACGGCAATGTTGTTCTTGTTGTACACGGCGTAAGCAGGGCCCAGCGCCGCGACGCCCTCGAGAATGCCCCTTCTTACAGCCGTGTCTCCCGTTTGCGTATCAAGAACAAGGTAGACGAACCTGTCAGCAGGCTTGGAGGCGTCGCCAACAATGAAGGCACGACTGAACAGTCGCTGGCGCAGGCCGGTGCCCTTCTGGTCTAGGTCGGCGTAGCCGGCAAAGCCAATCTCAACGACAGGGCCCGTCATGTCGGCTTTTCCGACACCGAGGAGGTACTTGGAGCCAGAAGCCTGGCGACGCTCGTTGATGAAGTCATCACCAAGCGTGGCCGCCGTGGCGAAGCTCAGGAAGAAAGAAAGGAGGAGGGCATAAAGGGGCAGCCTTGACAACATGATGTTGTTGCTATGGCGAAGCTGCAAACCAAACATAGCTTTTGATCAAGACCTTAGCAGTGCGACGAGGCAAAAGCAGGTGCTCAATCATCTGGAGAACCTCCAGGTCAAGAAAATTGTGCCCCTCACAACGGCCCTTATATCCCCCTTTCAAGCCGCGGTGTCACAAGTCAGACTGTCAGGAACGCATCAAACGTGCTCCAATAGTCTCTCCTCCTGCCCACCACCTACGTAGGGGCAAGAGAAGGAAGCTTCGCTTCGAGAAGGCAAGTCACGACCCCTCCCCCCCCCCGCTCAAGGTAGGTAGAAAACGCCATAGCTCCCAGAGGCGCCGCTTCAACCACCCAGGAGATCTCGGCCGATACTTCCTGATCGACAGTAGCGGACCTGCGCAAAGGGAAGTAAGACCACTAAGAGAAGAGCAACGCGCATCAAAGCGCACAACGTCGACAAGGCTCCCGGGCCGAGTTGGGTCGCCATTCAACCCCCTCCAGTTCAGGTGTGCGCCCAAAGGCCGGGAGCTCGACGAACCGGAGACGATCCAGCATCCATCTACCGTCAACCGAGCAGGAGGGGCGCGGCAAAGGGGAGGGGAAGGGGAGCCGGAGTGCTACGAGCAACGAGTGTCGGATAAGAGTGTGGGTGCGAATGTGACCTCTACAGGAAAAAGATGCTCTCGGAGAAGAAA